TATTTTAATTTTACTGGTAACCTACGTGGAACGTGGGAACGACGCAATCTTCACTATTTATATAATAAGGCGCAGGTTACGTGGTTTACAACATGTATTGCATTCAACGAGGACCATAACTGTAACCATGGAACTATATACTTCCATGCTGTAACTAAATCAATGCAAATGCGGATGCAGAGAGATGGGCTATTCAGTTGGCACATGCCTCTATGTTTGGCAAGAATGCCGACGAAAACGGCTTTGCGTTCATGCCACTTCTTTGCAATTCGTTAATTGTTTTCTTATTTTCAATAAAAACACAATACGACGTGTCACATGTGTAAGGAAGTTGAAGATTTAACATATCACATGACAACTTGAATTTTCCAACCCGGAAATTAACTACAGCAAATCCATACTGCGTCACGGATACATGGTTTCCTGAGTCCAAGGTCACGTGCAACGCGGCACCATACAATGACGTCAGACAAGTTCAACAACCAGGTCGCCACTGTGTTGTGATGGAATGCGAAATCAATTTGTCGATGTGACTTTACACTGAAAACAAATCCATTGCAAACACATCTAATAAATAAATGTCAGTATTCGGTAACAGATAATCGACAGACAAGAATGGTGTTGTATCGGAAATGTAATCATGGCAACTTCCTTGGCAACCGCGAGACATTACACCCGTGTATTACAGTATACAGTCACGTGACGCCGTGATGTCAATGGAATAACAATTTAGTTAAATATAGTAGTAGTAATGGCGTGAGCTAATGAACCAGTCAGTGTAAATATCGTGCAACCGACCTCTACAAAAGAATGTTATTGAGCAGTGACGTAGACCATCTAGACCCCCTACGGAGCCATATGCAGCGTTCGCTCACGACTCGCCAATTTGTCGAACCGAAGCTGTGATCACGAGCTAAGAGTCTTTTTTAACCCGGCGATTGTTTCATTTCTTGCTTCAGTGCGTCCTATCTATATGTGCGTTTGTCAGTTTAATTTATTGATTTGTTTATGTTATTATTTCTATGTTATTTATTTTTAGTATAATTTATTATATCGATTGAATTCGTCAAGCTGTTTTCGAATTGTAATGTGATGAGCGGACAGATATAACGCAATAAATATTAGAAAGGAGGCTTATGTAGTATGACATGTCTTATAAATTTAAACAGACTATAAATGGGTGGATTTTTTATACACTTAATATGTCTCAAAATGTTAAAAATGTGTCGCTAGTATTGTTATGGAAAGGCGGCAGTGAAAAGCTGGTATATACATATATATACAGTAATATTCATTCTCGAAGTAACGACCCCCCACATACAGATAAAAAACCGTAAATACTAACTGGAGACATCATGACAACAATATAGATAGACCTGTGATGTCTATTCATTATATTATTTTCGTAATTTCAACCAATTTGGATTTTGATCAATAATTTTAAAATATAGAATAATACATGTATATAGACTTATTAGTGAGAACAAACACAAAATATGCTGCTAAAGAAAACACGGATATTTATATGCCAAATATAACAAGCGGTTCAATTATTTTCTGTGTTCTTCAAATATCTCCATAATGTGCCACGTGGGAAATTTAAATCTTGCGTATTAAACCTGTGACGCAGAACACGAGTCAAGATATATATAGCCCACGGTATTTACTACAGGGCGACATCGATCCCAAAACAGAAAAAAAAAATGAATGCGTTAACTGTACGTACGTGACCCAGACTGCTTAAAGGGCGACAGTCGTTGTGCCGCGTCCTGTTCGATGTGGGACTCATAGCGACGTATACAACGCGTGTAAAATACATTTTTATTTACATGAAATTCGAACACGCGCTGCGCGACGACCACCGCGCTTTAAATGTCCTACCCCATCCCAGGATAGTATTATTAATAATATTCTTTATTAAATCGTATCCTCGTTTAGATCTTGGAAGACGGGAAAAAAACAAAACGCTGGATGGTGGTACACACTAACTAATTTGAAAAGATGTGGACGCAGACAGACAGATCGATACAGATCGACACAGAATTAAAAGTATGAGCAATAAACTGTGTGAAATTAAATTAAATTGCCGTTTTATTAAATTCACCTCACCTTTGTTAAATTTAGTATTCGTGTGATCAAGAAGCTAAGATTGTTTAGTATATTACTGACTGGACGGCGCGGTTGAATTGGTGTATGTTCGGAAGCGCACGGTTCAAAATTTGCGTAGTAAGCTGTGGCTATGTAACGGAATGCGCACACTGAAGGAACAACTAGGTCACATAACGTCAACCGTAGCGAGCGTTGACCAAACCACCTTAGCTTATTGTTTCATGGCTTGAAGTGGAACTTGAATAAATTACGGAAGATATTTAAAACAAATAATATCAGACAGACGCACACTACGTGAGCAAATTTTAAAAAAAGCTCAATATTATGAATAGAACACTATGGTCGTGGTATTACAATCATACTATATACGTAGTCGTCACTTCCGTTGCCGTCATGTATTGCAAATGTATGTTTTAATTGCGCTTCAGCGCAGGTCACCACTTTCTATTTACATATAAATAGCGTGACCTTTATCAGATATCGAGTGAAATGGCAATACTGAGTTCCCATTTACGTGCGCAATGCTTGGTTGCCAGAGAATGTACGCAATTCTAGGTTGCCAAGGAAAATACTATCTACGTAAATCCAACGTGACAGCTGTTCGTTTACAGTCAGTGGTTCCTCTCCCAATTAAAAAGTCTGACTGTAGAAATTAGAGACCCCAAGAAAAGTATAAAATATACATGTATATATTTTTTCATCACGTATGAACTAATTATTCACCTTTTATGCCATATGTGTCACGTGAAACGATTTATTGGCGCGAATCAGAAACGGTTTCACTGCAATCATTTGCGTCATTGGCCCTAGGTTCAGTACGCTGACACAATTTTTGCTGAAAAAAATAGCCGGACACAAAATTTATTGTTGTAAATTTATACGATTCATTATTTCTCCGAACAAAACACTCTGTGAATGATCAAGTTATCGACGCAAACGATTTAATAAAAAAAAACGATTTTAATATAGATATTAGTAATGATTAAAATCGTACCCTGACTTCACAATCTTATCATACACCCAGTTGTTTTGTGGTTTGATATTCCCTCTGTTCACGTACTATAAGCAAGTCCCAAATTTATGGATACACCAAATAAGGCAATGTATGATAAAATTGCCACAGCTTTGTTTACAACCTATCTAAATTGAGATCAGTGGGCGGGGCTTATTTTCATGAATAGTGTAACGTGACGTCACGTCCGCTGTTGTTTTATCAGGGTATAACGTGTGTAATGCGACGAAATCGAAGGGTATCGCAATTAATGGCTTACATTATTTAAAATATACATATATAACGAATTCTAACACACCCAATACAAAATATGTGAGATTTTTAAATGCGACAAGGCTTTACTAGTATATTATTTAAAGTAGATTTGGTTCATACTGTGCTTTAATGTTGTGTTGTTCTTATTATAATTACCTCAACAGGTATCCTCGTCGATTTTCTGTAATTTCACATGCGTGTAAAACGCCATATCGAAGCTGCCGATACGCACACTGGCTTGCACATTTGTCGTCGATTTCAACAAATTATCGTACGTCAACAAAGTTTTGACCAATGAGAAAAAAGAAGACACAATGTAAATAACAAGTTTAATCACAACCTGAACAGAGTGTTGTACGTCCGCCGGTGACGAAATATGCATAGTTCTCTCGTCATGTTTTTAGTGAAGAGTTAAAATTTTACCATATAATCTCACAATTTAGTTCAAAATAACACTATAATAATGTATTTTGTGAGTGGCAGCGTCTACTTTAATCGTACGCGAAACATTGAAATCCATAACACGAAAATAGTGCCATGACGTTGGCGGAGCGATATATACCTCATATAAATTATCGTCGGGGTTGCAGTTTGCGGTCTTTGCTCGGAGCTGAGCAGTTGGCTGCATCGTATAAGCTATTTGCCAGCACACAATTTACAACAACACTTCCATCTTTTTTTATATTTTTTTTATAATATTCTGATGAAATCTTGGTTTGCCCGGTGCCAATCAAGTCGGAGGACATTATTTTCATACAACGTAAGTTATTTATGTGCATTACTGTACGTGTTCAGGCTTTGTTGCGGCGATCGCTTTCGAGATTCGCAGCTGTGTTAGTAAACGATCGAACTATAATTTGGCGCAAATACACTTTTCGGAAATATCAGTGGGTATAATGAACTGAGTTCTGACCGAAATGAACTGAAGTGCAACTCGAGACTGATATAATTTGGCAATTTTGCGTGAGAAAAACAACCATACGGTATAAGTTGTTGTGGTCGTAAGATCCAAAATGGCGACCGTTGGCGATCGTAGACATGTACTACTCGAAACTAGTTTGGCTGAGCATTCCCCTTCTCTTACACTTTCACGTTAAAGAATAATACGTGACAATATCTACTTCTTGGTTTGATCAGACAATGCCTTTCTAAGTCATAAAGCCAATGCGATCATTTAAAATTTTGTCTATTTGTTCCGTTCATTTTCTAGTCACAGCTGATGCCGTATTATGTGGGCGTATCAAACAAACATCGTAAACAATAATCAAATCACTTTCCGTTTCGTAGAATTAATGCATTATGTTTTTATTTTCTTATTACAGGTAAATTTATAGTAATATTTTTATACAAGAGCACCAAGTCTGAAGAGATACTTATATTAACAACATGAAAGTAGAAATCCAAGTTGCGCTCAACTTCGTCATCTCTTACCTTTACAACAAACTACCCCGTCGTCGCGTCAATATTTTTGCCGATGAAATGCAAAAGGGTCTGAGAGAGAAGTTTGATGGCCACTGGTATCCCCAGAAACCATACAAAGGATCAGGCTACCGATGTCTACGTGTTAGTGGGCAGAAACTCGACCCAGTGATTGAGACAGCTGCTGCAGCCAGCGGTTTGAACATGGATGAGATCCGAAATAACATGCCAGACGAATTGAGTATCTGGATTGATCCATCAGAGGTTTCTTACCGATGCGGAGAGAAGAGTGCAGTGAAAGTACTGTATGTTGAGGATAAAGATGATACCCTGAATAACCTAGACCAGTCGATTACTGAAGTCAAGAGTAGCTTCAACCCAGAAGCCGACTCATTTCGCCCAATAGACTCAGTATCCTCGTCACTCAGTAGTATGAGTTTATCACCAACATCTCCTGTGCCACCAAGCTTCACCTCACCCTCACCTACCAGCATGTTTGGAAAAGTTAGCCCTGCTGCCGACAAACCTCAGCTCGTTACCTTTGATGCAGCTACCTTTGCCCAGACAAAGTTTGGATCCACTAAGATGAAGACTGCCTCCAAGAAGATCAACCTGCAACGACTATCGCCAACTGAATTTACAACATACATGAAGCAAAGATCAGCTCTGAATGGTATGTACGCCCAGAGACCCCGTTCTCTGTCTCCAAATGCTAAAGAATTCATGTACCCACAAACTAAAGTGGATAACATGAGTATTTGGGGTGGAGATGGGCTCTCTCTGCAGTCAACCAATGTAGGTTATGAAACCCTGCCAAATACTAACACCAACAACGATGCCACCAAAGCTTTATTTGATGGTCTTAATTTTAATGTGCCATATAATGGCCAGTACAACCAACAATCCTTGGTTGCAGCAAACTAAACTTATAGAAATTTACATAAGAGTACTTAATTTTAACCTACTACTGGCCACTTGCTCACAATGCATGTTGGTGAGCCCAAAGTTCACCACAGGCAGTAGATAAGATTACAAAAGATTGTTTAAAAGATGTGTACAAGAACAGTTCAGTGTGAAAGATTGTTGTTGTTGAAATTTTGATAATTATTCTGATACTGCCCAAGGGTACATACATTTGATTGATTCATACTATATACTTTGAAAGTAAAAACCTTTTTGCGGGTATGAGTTTCCTATTTTCCAAGATGAAATATTTAAAATGAACTTCTTTGTTTTAGCTTTAAATACAATATAAATTTTTATCTTTGAGAGTATATATTGGTATTCTTTCTGTATTTGGGTATTAAGAAAGCATTTTATCTTTTCTACTGAACATTGGCAATTCTATTATACTAAACAAATAGATATTGCTGTGCAAGCTTTTACTTTTATAAGAAAAATAAGTATTTTAAAAATTTACAAAGCTTAGACTCGTGGAAGTAATATCCCAGCGATATTATTACTGCAAGGAAATAAGAAACAAAACTTTATCTTGTATTTTGTGTTATACTTCCAGAATTTGCCACTATTCAAAATACAACAATATTGAGATACAGGATCAGATGAATCTGAAATAACATGGCATATTAATTTTCTACATAAATGTGCAATAAGAGTTACACATTGGACAGACAAGATGGAAAAATTAAAAAAAAAAATTAAACTGAAAAAATATTTTAAGTTTTAGATGGTGCATTGGTAATGTTTATATTGTTCCATATTTTTAAGTTTGTATTAAAGATTTTTTAAAAACATTCCCTTTTTCGTGTTTTTATTGTTCACCTACAGAGGACACATACTGACTACATGTAAATTCCAATTCAATACAAATTTGTGTTCATGCTCCTCTTTGGGTGTGTTGTGTGTGTGTATAAGTTGGCTATGGAAGTGAAGAAAATACACTATTGATCTAGTACATGCATATGCATGCAAAGAAAGCCCCTCACCAGTTTCCACAGGGAGTCAGTCAAACCTTATAACATATTGACCCTATCAGCTCTATCTCGTCCAACACCAATCCCAGGATGGAGCTGTACAGCATTGAATTTCATAAATATAAAAGCAATTCAAAACCATACAGAAATTGTGAAAAACACAGAAAAAAATAAATGAAAAATGACTGAGACAGCTTGTAATGTTGGCTTAACAAGCTACATGCATGCTGTGAATGAAAAAAACAGAACTGCTACCTTATTCATGATGTCAGTGATGTAAACATGCATGAAAGGGTCTGCAAGTCACTGAATGCAAGTTCTGACGTCAATCAGACATGTTACTTTAATAGCCAGTCTGTTACAACCAAACATTAAATCCCTGTAGATTTAATCACTGGCATATTGTGATATGATCTGATGCTTCACAATGTTTCTATTTATCAAGCATAACACATTTTGTACAAAACTCAAGAGAAATTTTAATATGAAGTGTGTAAAAAGCATTTGACCTTAGGGTCACTCTTGTGGTATAATTTACCTATTTATAATCATGCATACATCGCTACAATAAAAGGAATCCAGGCTACTTGATAAATGAGCGTATACCAGTACACTAGATTGTAGATCAATGGTCGTTATTTTTTCTATCATTCAGTCTCCAATTCATTAAATGATATACACCCTAATTATAACTGATCTCAACACTATTTATAATTATAACTGATCTCAACACTATTTATAATTATAACTGATCTCAACACTATTTATAATTATAACTGATCTCAACACTATTTATAATTATAACTGATCTCAACACTATTTATAATTATAACTGATCTCAACACTATTTATAATTATAACTGATCTCAACACTATTTATAATTTTGTTTTTAAATCTGTACAATAGAGTGATACTTGGCTCATAGAGAGGTTGGAGGGTGTCATTTAAATTTATTGTTACAAATTATCAGCACATGATGAGTGAATGGATGGATGAATGTACTCACTACAAAACTGTCATATATACTGTGAATACTAGATTTTCTGTCAGTTGCACCTGAATCTAATCAGTCATAATGCACAGAGATTACAGTATGTATACCATGCTATAAAACTGAAATGTCATGGAGTTAATCTTAAAAATCGAATGTGTTTAGAGAGGGTATTAATGTATGGATCAATTCTCTAGAACTAAAAATAAACACTTCCTTCCTGACTGTATTTGAAGATAGCTATTTTGGTCTGCCTTGTAAGAATTTACACCAACCTTGAAGTACATATGTTAGTTTTACCACTGATATTGTTATCAAATTTGTTATGTGTATGTGTTTTCTGATTTGTCAAAAGGCTTTTGCAGTGCAGCAACAAAATTAGCATCCTCTTCAACTCATTTTTTTTGTGATGCTATGAAATTTTATATTTTGTCATCATCTCAGCTAGCAGTACTGTTTGTATAAGTGGGTGGATGGATATAGCAAGCGAATAACAATTAACTTTATCTTTAGATCATGTGTCTTTTACATAGGTCAAAGGTCAACAAAGTGAGTCAGTGAGGTTGGGGAGGTGATAGCAAAGCGTACCATGTTAAAAATGTCACCATAAGCATGCTTGAAGCATGACATTGTGCAATCACTGAAACCTTTTTAGGATGCTAGTAGAGTACCATGCTGCAGTACCTTTAACCAGGCATTGTAATAGTAGACAATAGTGGCAAGGTGTATCATCATTGTATCAGTGACTCTATCATCTTCAACCTTATCTTGTGTACAAGAAAAAACATAAATCACTCAATTGTCGTTACATGCTGATCTGTTCTCGTGAACTGGTCAGTACGCCAGTCAACTCGAACAATGGCAGATAAATGAAAACGTCACTCGTTATCAAGACATTGTGGGAGATGATAAATTTTGGCAAGCTGAGTGGAGAGCATGCACGCGTCACTCAAAAACATAGTGTATTTTGTTGTTCAGGTTTCCCAGCTGTTGAGTGTCGCAATTTTTCCACTGGCTGAAATGATAGAGCTGATATGGGTCAGTGTCAATATGTGTATAATTAAACCCACATTAGACTGAGTCAGCAAACAGCATTTTTTTCTCGGTTATCACCACTGTGAATTTTTGAACTGGCCACTTTTAACCCAATTGCACAATCTTCTAAATGAGGGAATTTAAACATCGCAATATAAAATACAAAGCAGCAATGTACACATATTTAGTATAATAGCGTAATGTGTCGGGTGATTTATCAGCTGTTTGAATGACTCATAACTCAAAGTACCTGGGAATTTGAAGAGCTGGCGTCTTAAAATCGCCACCAGTGCGGTCATCAATGTCAGGTGATAATGTGACATTATATCACATGCCTGTCAGTGCAATATCGTTTAATTGTCATTACCCCCACCTCTTTGATATGGGTCTCAAATTGATGTCAAGTATATTATTTGCTTGTAACACAACTGATGATTTAATATTTTTAGCTCCGCTGTCATATGAGTGATTGTCCGTCGGCGTCCTGCATCCGTCGTCCGTGTCAACTTTTAAAATTTTCCACTAGTTCTTGAAAACTACAAGCCTGAATGCCTTGGATGGACCTCTCAGATTTGCTCATTTTATGATGATATATTCAATTATCTAATTTTGATGAATATTTTTGTCATTTTTAGTAAAAAGTGATATTTTTGAATTCTTGTTGAAAACAGCAAGTTTGATTGCTTTGATACTATACATATTGTTCTTTTTCTAATGATATCTTCTGTTCTTTAATTGAAATGTGCATCGCTAACAGCGGATCTATCTCAGCCGACCGGCTGCTTGTTATATTTTGTATCAGGGCTTGGCATTAGCTTTTAAACTCACCTTTCTAAATATATGCCTATATATTTACTATAGTTGTTTGCTTATTGCAAGAGGGGTACTATTACTATGTTCCAGCCTACAAAACTATTTTTTAAATTTCAATGCTAAATTGATGGTTCCAAAATCGCTGATTCTTATCGATATATTCCTTGCCATCCAATACCTTATGACCATATACATTGCTTTGAATATCATGTGAATAAACTACAGTAATAGAAATTGATGAATTAAAACACTTGAGTATTCAACTCTTTCAAAGTGATCTACAATTGTTTTCTAAAGTTATTTTTATGATGGCTAGACACATGAATTGTTAATGATTTGTGTACAGGTAGTTCCTTTGTGAAGATCACATTTTTAAAGTATTCTGTGTGAGAAAATTTCTAAAAATATCACACTAAATGCCTTTATTAAATTTGATTATTTGACAAATAGCAATAAACTGGGCATTTATCTTAAACTCAGATCATGAAAAAATATACTAAAAGATATACCGTACATGTGATTCCAACTAAGAAAACTTATTTGGACACAATCAAAACAATGTCATTGTTAGTCCTAGTTCGGACACAGTCCGAAAACAAGGACTTATGTTTTGACCTCCGTGTGTCAGTTCAAAATGGCTGTCTAGCGGCCATTTTGTTTTAATGAATGGACTTCTAGACCCATATCTCCGACTTGTTTTGACTGATAATATTTTCAAATTTTAAATATTCATTATACATCATGTCATAGATAAACAGATATATTGGTTTGACTATCCTATTCAAAATGACCAAATGGTGGCCTTTTTTGTGCTAAAAAATCATCAAATATCAAGCATTTCTGGCATTTCTGGATGGATTTCATTCAAACTTAGTACATACATTAGACATTACGGGTTCCTGATGCACGTCCTTTTATTTTTCAGATCAGATTCAAAATGACTGACTGGCGGCCATTTTGTTTTAATGAATGGGCTTCTAGAGCCATATCTCTTAAATGCTTTGACTGATTATGTTCAAATTTTATATATTCATTATACATCATGTTATATATATATACAGGTATTCATAATGACTGATTTTGAATGCTGTTCCAGAGCAATATCTCTCAATATGGACAAGTACTTGTTTGATGATCAGATACAAATGTCAATCATTTTAATGTTAAAAAATCATATTCCTGACATGGTTGTATTCCAGCTATATTACTATAAAAAAAACTATATATCTTAAATTTGATAACTAACGGGGACTGTGCCATGCATGGCTTTTTTTTTTTGATATTGCTTGCCTATATACTTTGCTTTATTAATTAATTTTTTCAATAAGTACTGCAACTTCGTGACTAAATCACTTTTAAGGTATTGTTTATTAAATCAATAAATATTAACAAATTGACTGCAGTTGATAGCATAACTGTGTACAATTATTAGTCTTAAGTTCAAGGCCGTATGTGTACTGAAACAGTATGATAAAACTTCTCGAAATCAAACCTGTTGCCCAAACTACATAATGAATATTTATGATGTGACAGTTTGTCAGATTGTGGTTTATTAGACAC